GTAACAAATTTATGATAGATTTTGAAAATAAATAGCTCTGCTTCCCCTGGACCAATTTCAATAATTTTATCACCAATCATTCAGAAAAATTTCTATGCATCAATAGCAATGCATTGACTTTTAACAAAAAAAAACTAAAGAAAACGTGGTAATGTCAAGCATTGTCCAATGTACAAATAAAAAGTGATAATTGTATCACTGATTTCATGAAATAAACGTTCTTCCCAAACCTAGTCGTCATAATCGAGTACCATGTGCAACCACATCATTTTGCTTTACCCTGAAAAGATATAAAAGAGCGATGCTGTCTAGCTTCAACTCATTATCGCTGTGGATAAGCAGGCAGCAGAAGCAGCAATAGCAGCAGTAGGTGGCGGCAGGTTAGGAAGTCCACTCTTCTACCTAACAAGCAACAATGACTGGTCGTGGAGAAGGAGGAAAAGGTCTTGGTAAAGGAGGCGCCAAGCGTCATTGCAAAGTTCTTCGTGATAACCGCCATCCGTCGTCTGGCTCGCCATGGTGGTATCACACGTATCTCCGGTCCGATCTACGAGAAAACACGAGGCGTGCTTAAGGTGTTCCTGGAAAATGTGATCCGTGATACTGTCATCTACTCTGAACACGACAAACGTAAGCTGCCATGTATGTTGTCTAAGCTTTGAAGCGACAGACGCACTCTGTACGGAGGTAAACTCATCACCTACTTTGGCAACAGAACGGCCCTTCTTAGGGCCAACAAGCTTATTACAGTAAATAGTTGGAATAGAACTTATCTGTGCCTGTTTGTCCATATTCAGAACCACACGCCCCCAACGACCACACAAAATGCTCTCCAGAGTTGTAATCGTGCAACCAACCGTGGAAGCAGGGGTGCAAGTCATTTTGATCGCTTCTCTCCATCAACTTTCTCTTAAAAAAAAAAGAAAAATACTTCAAATTTAGTACGCCTACAATACAAAAACGGAAAGATTTAAGATAATAGATGATCGGTCAATTGAAAGAACTAAATGCTCTTCACATTTGTTCCGTCCACTAGGGGTCCTACGTCAAGCTTCCGTTAGTGCCCCTAGACACAGACCCTTCTACTGTTTTTTTCCTTGATTTGTTTTCCGTCGATCTTGTTTTCCGTGCGGAGCACCAATGCTACCGACACTAGGAAGGCAGCTCCCACACCTGGACCCTGCCTATCGACCCATCAACTCATGAACCGGATGCCTCAGAACATCCAGGCGGCGCTAACTGGGACTGAACCTATTCCTGCTGGGGTGAGAGGTAATCACGCTTACCACTACACCACCGGCGCCGCTGCAATGGCAAGTAATCTGAATGTCAACGTGCTTAGCACATTGATATCAAGCACCACTTTTTGTAGGACCATGTGATGGCTGGAACCAATAGGATCTAATGGACAGTTAGCAGATACATTCACAAAGTCCCTCGAAGCTGGACGATTCTATGAAATGAGTTCGCTAATAGGATTAACTGATTAAGAGGGGGTGTTGAAGATCAGGGGACTCTACCCTAGTAACCTGTTTGTTTGAAGATATCAACAAGTGCAGGACTGTTACAATAGGCGCGGATTTCGCGAATTTAACGGATCTCGCGATTTGCGCGGATTTGTCGCGGATTTGAAATCGCGGAAACATTAAATGATGGTGCGAAAATCGCGAAGGGACTGATGTTCTGTCACAAATATTGTGGAATTCATTGTAACCTTTCCGCCCCGGATTATTTTGCTGGCATAAATTTTGTTGTTCATTTGGCTCTCAATTTTTAACCGGTTCAAACCAAACACCCTACAAATAATAGAGAAATGATCTCAATTCCATAAGTTACACCGGATTTACACGGAAATTCCCTGGGGTCTGTCCAATGTGAGATATTTTCATGGTTGTTTATTTCCAATATGAATATAACATTTTTCGTTATCAAAACATAAACGAATCGTATACATGCGAGTAATTGCCATCTATACCAGATATTCAAGGTTCTCTAAATCGTCCTGGAGTTCAGTTGATTTGTTCTACTATATCAACCAGGACTGCAATGATGTCTGTAGTATCGAAATATGTCCAAACAGATTCAAAGTGCCTATGTGGATCGTGTCCGACCTATTGCTACGTATACAAGATTTTATAGGTTCTGAAATCATTCTGGAGATCAGATTATTTTTCTACTAGATCACTAAAGACTAATGTTCAAGGCCAAATGTTCTAGGATTTCCAAATCGATATTTCGATACTACAGATGTTATCCCAGTCTTTGTTGATCTAGTAAAAAAAACATCTGAACTGCAGGACGATTTGGAGAACCTAGATCGTCTGGTATACGTGGAAATAATTAAACATTATCCATATAGATACTATGAATCTGTTTGGATAAATTTCGATACTACAGACTTTATCCCAGTCATGGTTGATCTAGTAGAATAATGAACTCCAGAACGATTTGGAGAACTTAAAATATCTGGTATACATGGTAATAATTCATGCATGATCCACATAGACACTGTGCATCTATCTGGAGATATTTCGATACTAAAGACATTGTCCCAATCTCGGTTAATCTAGTAGATCAAATTATCTGAACTCCAGGCCGATTGGAAGAATCTTGAAAATCTAGATTACTCGGAAATAGCATTATTGCAGTTTTGGGTGATCTAGTAGAACAAATCAACTGATGTCCTGGACGATTTGGAAAACCTATAATTTCCGGTATACATAGTAAAAAGTCGTGCATGATACAATGTCACATATAAACGGTGCCGGTGGTGTAGTGGTAAGCGTGATTACCTCTCACCCCAGCAGGTCTGGGTTCAATCCCAGTCGGCGCCGCCGGGATGTTCTGAGGCATAACATCTCTGATCACGCCTTCCTTCGGATGGGAAGTAAAGCCGTTGGTCCCCGGTTCATGAGTTGATGGGTCGATAGGTAGGGTCCAGGTGTGGGAGCTGCCTTCCTGGCACGTCGGTAGCATTGGTGCTCAGCACGGAAAACAAGATCGACGGAAAAAACAAACCAAAGGAAAAAAAAAAAAAAAAAAAACAATGTCACATACATACGATTCGGTTATGATTTGACAACGAAAAAGTGCTAGGTTCATATTAGAATAAAAAAAATCATGAAAATGTCTCACCATTGGACAGACCCCAAGGAATATCCGTGTAAAAACAGAACCGTGACGTGAACAACAACTGTGACTTATGAAATTCTGGTAATATCTCGATTATATGCAGGCTGTTTGGTTTGAAACGGTAAAAAATTGAGAAAACAAGAGCCAAATTAAGCCAAATGTTTCGAACGATTTTTTATATTTTACTTTAAAAAATTTCTTATACTTTGAAGTTTTTTTTTTATGCAAAATATCTAAGCGATCAGACGAGTAGTTACCGAGATATCGATATTTATGTAACAGCACCGATTCCGCCTACCGGAAAACTTTAAACGCATTTTTCTCGAAACAATGTTTTCCAAATTGGCGGGAATGATAACTCAAATAGAAAAAGATTTTTACTCTCTGTGAACCACTGATATCATGAAAAAATTAACAATAAATAATTTTCAGGTCTGCCTAAAGTGGAAAAAAAACAGTGAAAAATCAACTTTTTTTTTCAGATATTATTTTCTAAATTTTTAAATTGTTTATTTTTTTTTGGGTTTTAGAGGTTCACATAAAACAAAAATCTTTTGTGAATATGGTCCAATTGATAAAAGTAAGCTTTGTCCATTTTTCAGGTCTCTAGAACGCCCGCCAATTACCGATCCCCACCGGAGGCGACCTCCTTCCGATGTGACCCCAAAGAGCCACAGAGGTCACACACCAATGAAAAAAAATATCAAATGTAGGGGAAGGTTTAAGAAATTTAATGCAAAAAACCCCAAACGTTTGCGCTGTTTCATTTGCTCACAAAAAAATTCTGTGTTACCCCCTTAACTACAACTGTTTCCCCCCTTAACTACAACATTTAGGCCAGCAAAATACGTCAGAGACGCAAAGGTTAATTTTCAAGAAAATTTTCCTTTCAAATGAAAATGCATTTTTTTTTTAAATAATGTTTCATCAAATCTAGGCCGGTATTATTCAATAGAATCTCATAATGTAAGGGTGCTTTATTATGTTCAGTAATTACTCAGAATTTATACTATTCATAAATAACTGAAGATGATACATTGTTATTTTTTTAGGTTACAAACGATACTCCTTTAGCTCAGTCGTTAAAGGCGCAGCTACAAAGCAACTCCATGCTGGAGGCGACTGCGTTCGTTTCACGTCTGGTCTATTAATTTTTCGAGTTGGAAAATTTATCTACTTTCTTGGGCATAGGATGGTACAGGCATAGAAAGCTCTCAATTAAAATGTGAAAGTACTTCAAAGAACACTAAGTTGACAGCAGATTAAAATCTAATATGCTTGAAATTCCATGTAGTACCTATCTAGTACTTTTAGGTAATGAAAACAGTTTTTTTTTTGTCGCGGATTAGTGTTTTAAGTCGCGGATTTCTTTTGAGAAATCGCGGATTTCACGGATCAAATTTATAAAATCTTGTAACAGCCCTGCAATTGCAAAGTTTGTTCATTCGTTATCAACTTCTCGTCCTGTACAGATTCAAACTATAGTGTTCTCCCTATAATTCAAACCACTGTTATAAATTCAAGACTCCATAATACTAACTTTAATCTCAATGCTGTCTTGAGCATAGTAGTTTAAGCTGTGCTGAAATTCTGAGCTAAATCGAGTCTTCTGAGCAAGTTCTATGCAAGAAAGAGCGAGGGAATGTTATTTATCCATACATCTCAACCAAAGCCCTCAAACATAAAAACATTAAACCAAAAGCGTCAGCTCATGATACATCCGAATGAGCTGAAATTTTCAAAAAGTGCATTTCTCACCTAATGGGACAAATCTGGTGGTTGGCCTGTTGAAAAAAATGGTTAAAAATTCTAACCGTCCATCTTAAATCCATTCCTCCGTGATAACTAAATTCAAACCATTAACTCACCAGGGTAGTTCCCATACGATGCCACTCCACCGGACATAATCTTCACCATGTGCTCTTTGTAGGGTTTCTTCTTTTTCAGCTCGATTGGCCGAATGATCAGCAGGGGTATTTCCCCATTGGAGCGTTTTGGTTTCCTCGCACTGAGCGTCGTATTGTAGACAAGGGCCTTGTGAAGTTTGCTCGTTTCGCCTAGGCCAGCCTTGATGGTCACGGTTGTAGCTGGGCCTGAGTGCACAGAGGTACTCTCCTCGACACCAAGCACCATGGGAGCTGAAAGTGAAAAAAGGTAAAATATGCTTATTAGTTTACTAATACGTAAAAAATTGACCACCGGTCGGTGAGTATACAGAATCAAAGGAGAAAATTCACACGACCCGTGGATTAACCGATTGGGATACGAAAGTGGAGAAATGGAAGAGGCATCCCCAGTGCGTGGTTAAAGCGGAATCGAAGATAATTATGGCACGTGCTGGAAAAAAGCCATAATTCATTGGAACGAGATGAAAGCTCATCGAAAACCTATTGGTTGAGATTGGCGCTAAACATTTCCTGTGTTGTTGATGCATATTCATTGATTTTACCCCTTATGTGATACGTGAAAGTCTGATCAGAAGGTATTTTTTCGATCCTAATGAAATACTTAGATGGATTTATGTTACTAGAGATCCATGTATCTTGAAACGAGATCACATGTTTGCTTGGGAAAGGAAATCTAAACTATGTTAATACTGAAATTCAGGGCAATCAGTTGTGGAAGGGATCCATGATTTAAATTCATAATTTATGACGCTATCTATAAATGAAAGTATAGGTTAACCTTTCGTTATGAAGAATTTTTGGGTATCCACATTTCAATATTAGAAAGCAACTTAAGCTTAGCTTTCTTATTTCAGATCTCTAAATCGATTTATTTTTCTGCAAGCTCAACAAATCAGGTAGCGCATTTCCCTTTTCATCCCAACATAAGTTATCATTAGTCGTGGCCATTCCAAAAGTAAACACCAGTCGCGTGGTAATTGGCTCCATAATTTCTTATTTCGCTCACAACTTCTGCTCAACGCACTTCGCATCTTTCAGCTATTCCGTTGCAGTGCCGCATATTTACACCTGCCAAGATCCTCCAGAGTATCCTCTGAGCAGACAGAGTAATGCCATTCTGTTGTGTGTGTGTGACGTGATCGTCTTTCGGTCGAGCGTGATGAGCGTCCACTTTTGTACACGTCGGTGTTGCAGGGAAAGAGGATAAACCGACAATGAATGGACCACCAACCAACCACCCGACACCATTGAAAAGGTGCATAGTGGAGGACAATCTTTTCTATACCAAAGAAGTCGGTGGACGGTGGATGGAGTGAAATAAACATGTTCCTCCAGACGACCGACGACGAGACACTTCAATCTACTCCAGACAAATAAATTTTCATAAAAACACGCTGCACCCTTTTAGTTACGGTAGCTTGAGGAAGCTTTCAGGGAGCAAAAGGATTCCATCAATCGTGCGCATGGAATAATTGGGAATAGTTGAATAGATGATTGGATGTTGACAATGTACCGGCTGTACGCTTACCATTCGATAAATCCATGCAAATTTAAAAATAAGTTAGTGTTAGTGTTAAATCCTGTTGTTTTTAATTGCCATAGACTCAATGAATTGTAAGTCGAGTGAGTGGAATTAAAAGCCGTGCGGATTAACCTATCTTTATGGTACTAGCAGATTTTTCCCGAAACAAATGTTTTAAACTAATTACATGCTCTACATATATTTCATAGGCCAAATAAATGACCAGTCAGCGGATCAAGTTTTCATTTCAATCCTGTAGAAGATTTTGTATCCATTATTTTTAAAGGTATTCATAACAATATTAAAAATTGATGGATTTTATTTTGAGTAAAAACGAATTAAACTCTTTTTTTACATTGTTTTTCAATTTTACCAAATTGTACAATTCCTACTATTTTTGACTAGTAGAAATAAGCACACCACCCTAGTACCCGAGCATGAACGAATATCTCGATACCTTAAATTGGTATGGATGAGCATGTCATAAGAGGTAAAATACCAAAAAAAATATTCCAACAATACCATTCCAATACCAAATTATGATAAGGCAATACAAAAACAATACCACAAAGGTAATTAAAAAAATAAAAAATACCGAAGAAAGAAATACGGATCGGAACAATCGGCACAGACCTACGCGACGAAATAAGGACTACGATTGGAAACTCGGAACATGGAACTGCAAATCGCTCGGCTTCCCGGGTTGCGATAGGTTAATCTATGACGAACTTCAACCACGCAACTTCGAAGTCGTAGCACTGCAGGAACTTTGCTGGACGGGACAAAAGGTATGGAAAAGCGGGCATCGAGCGGCTACTTTCTACCAGAGCTGTGGCATCACCAACGAGCTGGGAACCGGTTTTGTAGTGCTGGGTAAGATGCGCCAACGCGTGATTGGTTGGCAGCCGATCAACGCGAGGATGTGCAAGTTGAGGATTAAGGGCCGTTTCTTCAACTACAGCATCATCAACGTGCACTGCCCACACGAAGGGAGACCCGACGACGAGAAAGAAGCGTTCTCTGCGCAGCTGGAGCAGGTGTACGTCGGCTGTTCGCAACGGGACGTCAAAATCGTCATCGGCGACATGAACGCTCAGGTAGGACGGGAGGCAATGTATAGACCGGCAATCGGGCCAAACAGCCTGCATGCCGTATCGAACGACAACGGCCAACGATGCGTGAACTTTGCAGCCTCCCGGGGTATGGTAGTTCGAAGTACCTTTTTCCCCCGCAAGCATAACCACAAAGCCACCTGGAGATCACCTGACCAACACACAGAAAACCAAATCGATCACGTTCTAATCGACGGGAAATTCTTCTCCGACATTATCAACGTCCGCACGTACCGCAGTGCGAACATAGATTCGGACCACTACCTAGTTGCAGTATGCATGCGCTCAAAACTCTCGACGGTGCATAACACCCGTCGAAGTCGAACGCCGCGACCCAACATTGAGCAACTACGGGACGCCGGAGTTGCCCAGAATTACGCGCAGCAGCTGGAAATTGCACTACCCAAGGAAGAGCAGCTTGGCGCAGCTTCTTTTGAAGATGGCTGGAGGGACATCCGTTCAGCCTGCTGCAGCGGCACTAGGTACTGCAATCCCGGACCGAAGAAATGACTGGTTTGACGGCAAATGCAAGCTGCTAGTAGAGGAGAAGAATACAGCACGGGCGAGAATGCTGCAACACCGCACGAGATTGAATGTGGAGCGATACAGACAAGCGCGGAACAGACAAAACTCGGTTTTCCGAAGGAAGAAGCGTCAGCAGGAAAACCGAGATCGCAAGGCGATGGAAAATCTGTACCGCGTAAACGACACACGGAAGTTCTACGAGAAGTTAAATAGTTCGCGCAAAGGCTACGTGCCGCAAGCCGATATGTGCAAGGACTTGGACGGTAACCTTCTCAAGAACGAGTGTGAGGTGATTGAGAGGTGGAAGCAGTACTATGACGAGCACTTCAACGGTGAAGCAGCAGAAAACGAAGGTGGCACCGCAACAGACCTTGGAGCACGCACAGAAGACGACAGGCTACCGGACCCCAGCAGAGAAATTCAAAGATGCATTATGGCAGGGAATCGTGCCTACTTTGGACTCCAGAGTACGCTCCGGTCTAATAAAATTCGCCGCCGCACGAAGTTGACTGTCTACAAGACGCTGATTAGACCGGTGGTCCTTTACGGCCACGAGACCTTGACTATGCTTGTGGAGGACCAACGCGCCCTTGGTGTTTTCGAACGGAAGGTGTTGCGTAGCATCTACGGTGGAGTGCAGATGGATGACGGAACGTGGAGGAGGCGAATGAACCACGAATTGCACCAGCTGCTGGGTGAACCATCCATCGTCCACATTGTAAAAATTGGGCGACTACGGTGGGCTGTGCACGTCGTAAGAATGCCGCACGACGACCCAGTGAAAATGGTTCCAGAAAGCGCCCCAACAGGAACAAGAAGAAGAGGCGCGCAGCGGGCAAGGTGGATCAACCAAGTAGAAGGTGACCTGCGGACCCTTCGCAGACTAAGAGGCTGGCGAAGTGTGGCCATGGATCGAGTAGAGTGGAGACGACTTCTTCGGACAGCAGAGGACAACAAGGCCTTAGCCTGATTGGTAAGGTTAGTAAGGTAATTTGTCAAATATCAAATTTTGTTATTTACAAACTATTTTGCTCGCAATTTTTTGGTATTATTCTTTGATAGTTTACCTCTTACACGCTATTTTTTAAGGCAGAATACCTCAATTTATTGTTTTAAAGGTCTTCTAATACCAATCCAATAACTCTTTTAGGTGGTATTGTCTAAAAAATGCAAGATCACTTTTTGTTAATTTTGTATTTATTCGATATTTTCAAAATATGTAGATACCTGAATAATTTTGAAACAAAGTTTTAAACCGGAAGTTAACCAAGTAAGATATCATACTACATTAATATATTCATAAGATATTGGTTAGTTATCGGTTCCTGCTCGGGATGTCAGGCTGATCAGTACCTCATTTTAGTGTAGAATTAGGTATTCATAAGTTACCCGAGCAGAAAAAGAGGTAAAATACTAAATAATAATACCAAAACATGCAAGCAGAATGCTTTGAAAACTAATACATATAGGGTAACCAACTTGAATTGGACCCCTACATATTTTGGACCCTTTTCATATATTTTCCTCGCTTACTGTCTAGTTTCTTCAAATTCATCTGGGTTGATGTTGTAATTACATTCTTTCAATTACTTGCTATGTCTCAAGATCATTAGTTCACCTCAAATTGCTTACAATTGCTCAATTTATGCAGTTTTAGAAAATTTTATCGAAAAAGTTTCATGTTTCAACGTTTGTCAAGAGGAATCGGCGTTAGTGGACTTGTTTTAAATTTGGTCTAAAATATACAATTCAATGATTTTTTTTTTATCAAATCAGTTTATCTGACTTTGGAAGATGTATTTCACGTGTTTATAAAGATTTCACCTTAAGATTTTACTTAAAAAGTATTAAATAAAAAGTGTCCAAAAAAGATCGTAAAAAAATGTTACCAACTTATTTTGGACACTTATCAAATGAGAATCATCAAAAGAGCGACAAAAAAAATTCCGGTTGGTCGATCGTGCTATTATCTCAGATTTCTGATTAAATTGGTAAGTAAATCAATCAAAATTATATGAATTCATTGTTTTTAAATATATTTCTTGTTTATCAGGCGATTCAAAATGGGAAAAACGGCAAAACACGTAGAGTGGTCCACTCTGAGTTTTCCTAGTTTTCCTAGTTCCTAGTTTTCCACAAAAGTTTTCCTATCTCTCAAACGCATTTAACTAAGGGGCTGTTCATAAACTACGTAGACGCTTTAGGGGGGTGGGAGCGCTTGGCAGATGTCTACGGTCCATACAATTTTTTAAATTTTGTGTTTGAGACTGTCTTCTACGGACAGGGGTTGAAATCTCTCAAAAACCGTCTACGTAGTTTATGAACAGCCCATACAAAAAATAAAATGGACTGCAAGCATAGAGTCAGGTCTCCGTATTAAGATTTACTTCTGAATGATTTTTTTTTATGGTATGATCAGTTGTTTCCTTATGTTATATTATATTTCCTCCGTTACTCGCGCCTACTTTTGTAACACGAGTACTCACGCGTTGTACTTTGTACAACAGTGTCAGTTTTCCATTTCCATTTTGCAGCTGAGCTACCAATCGATCTGAAATCAACGAGTATTCCTCAAAAAACTTGCTTTTAACTAAACAAGCTAAATATTTATTACAGTTAACCCCCAAAATATGCGGATAATAGAGAAAATGTAAATGGAAACCGCGTAAATGGTGTCTATACTTCGAGGGTTCTGACTTAATTGGTTACAACATGGAATATCTCGAGATCCTGACCAGATAGAAAGTTACTGTCTTGGGCAAAGTTGTTCAGGAGGTCAAAGCCTATTTCTTAGTGTACAATAGTTCAGAATTATCTCACTTCGTGGTGCTAGTATACATGTGAAATTCTCGTGTATAAAATATCTCTAGATCCTGACCAGATAGAAAGTAAATGCCTTCAGCAAAGTTGTTCAGGAAGTCAAGGCCTCTTTGCTGGTGGACTTAAGTTCAGAGTTTTATCACTTTGCAACGCTAGTATACATGAGGAATTCTCGCATATAAAATATCTCTAGATCCTGACCAGACAGAAAGTTACTGTCTTCGGCAAAGTTGTTCAGGATGTTAGGATCTTTTTGTTTGTGTACAGTAATTCAGAATTTTCCCTTTACGTGGCACTAGTATGCGGGTCATTTAGAGATATTTTATATGCAAGGATTTCACGTGTCTTTTAACGTCACCTAGTGAGAAAATTATGTACTTTCCACCAACGATAGGGTTTGATCTCCTGGACAACTTTGCCGATTACAGTACATTTTTAGCAGGTCTTGAGATATATCATATGTTAGAATTGCACGTATATACTAGTACCATGAAGTGAAATATTCTGAACTACCGTCCACTAGCCAAAAGGCCTTGATCCCCTGAACAACTTTGCCCAAGACAGTAACATTCTATCTTGTCATGCTCTCTAGATATTTTATATGAGAGATTTTAACGTGTATACTAAAACTACATAGTGAGAAAATTCTGAACTATTCTACACCAAGCAGTAGGCTTTGACCTCCTGAACAACTTTTTCAAAGACAGTAACTTTCTATTTGGTCAGGATCTCGAGATATATCATATGCGAGAAGTGTATATGTATACAAACGCCACGTGGTGAGAAAATTCTGAACTACTGTCTACCAGTCGAAAAGTCTTGACCCCCTGAACAAGTTTGCCCAATACAGTAACTTTCTAGCTGGTCAAGAACTCGAGCTATTGTATATGCGAGAATTACACGTATATACTAGCGCCTCGTAGTGTGAAATTTCTGAACTACTCCACCAACGAAAAGAGCTTGACTTCCTGAACAACTTTGCTGAAGGCATTTACTTTCTATCTGGTCAGGATCTAGAGATATTTTATACACGAGAATTTCACATGTATACTAGCACCACGAAGTGAGATAATTCTGAACTATTGTACACTAAGAAATAGGCTTTGACCTCCTGAACAACTTTGCCCAAGACAGTAACTTTCTATCTGGTCAGGATCTCGAGATATTCCATGTTGTAACCAATTAAGTCAATCCCACGTAGTATGGACACCGTTTAGGCGGTTTCCATTTAAATTTTTTCTATTATCCGCATTTTGGGGGTTAATTCTAATCAAAGTTTAGCTTTTTTAGTTCAAAACAAGTTTTTTGAGGAATACAAGTTGGTTTCAGATCGATTGGCAGCAACAAAATGGCAATGGAAAACTCATATGTGTACAACAGCGCGAGTAACGGGGGGTTAACTTTTATGCATACCGTAAAACGGGGTGTAATTGATCAGCGGGGCAAAATTGATCGCTGAAATTTCTCGTGATATTTTTTCATGTGTAACATGTTTTTCGTTACTAAGCGTACGAATGTATATTTGTATACATTGTAAAAATATTATGCATAAGTACAATATTGGGTATACTCAGCGATCAAATTCACCCCGCTGATCAATTTCACCCCGTTTTACGGCACCTTCTATGAAAATTTTCCCACCTAGACGGACCTAACAAATGCGAGATAGGAAGAAGTGACCGTCGTAATTAATTTTAGGCTCATAGGTTGAAAGAACTTCAGCATGTCAAAAATATATTCGTTCCCATTCAGTGTGTCCAAAATATATTATGGACACTGTCCAAAATCAAGTGGAAGGGTCCAAAATATGTGAATATCATGATGTGAAAAGAATTATTTTTCGAGTATATATCAATAAATAAAACATCTAGTGACATTTTACATCCAAGATGAGTAGCTTTCAAACACAACCGCATGTAAATTGCATAATAATAATAAACAAATAATATTATTTTGACATAAACGTGATCTCACTTCCTCTAGGGGTCCAAAATCAGTTGGTTACCCTATATTTGGATACCAGAAGAACATTTGTGTGGTATTGTTTTGGTTTTGAATTTGCTTTATTCGGTATTTGAATGATACTTAGGGAACAATTTTTGTTATTTTGTTTTGGTATTTTATCTCCGGTGCCAGATTTTTTTTTAATAATTTATTTGTACAGGATCAATCGAATAAACTTTCCAGAGCCAAGTTATCATTTGTTAAAGGAATTGAACCGATAACTTGCGTCGTCTCGAGGTTGTCTACCTCGAAGGGAATCGAACAACTCGGATCCGACTCCACGGTGCTCACCACATGACTGGTAACTTTGTCCACATTCACAGATATTGCTGTCCCCCAGCCCAACACGGATCAAGTGAGTATTTAACGAGTAGTGATTGGACATGAAGCGAGACATCATACGAATGAAGTCTCGACCCACATCCAACCCCTTGAACCAAGGATCCTTCGACACCTTACGGATGATTGAATATAGCCATCGTCCCAAACTCCCTTCACTTATTTATTTTGTCAGCTAGCGAGTGACTGCTGACGATAAATGAAGAAAAATTCGTTGTAAGAGATTTGTGATCGAAAATATCGTCTTCCATAGTGCCCACCTTAGCCATTGAGTCCACCATCTCATTGCCCGGAATCGAGCAATGAGATGGGACCCATGCAAAGGTGATGACAAAAGATCTTAAAGATAAAGCACTTAGAAGCTCTCGTATTTTCATAAGAAAATACGAGGAGTTCTTTACCGGTCTCATAGAGCGAATAACCTCGACAGAACTGAGACTATCCGTGAAAATAAAATAGTGATCTGGTGGAAGTGAGGCAATCGTTTCTAGCGTATAATGTATTTCCGCCAGCTCAGCAATATATACGGAACAGGGAGCTTGAAGCATTCGAGAGGTGTTATGAAATTCTTCAAAAAATACCAAAACCAGCGGACGCCTCTATTAGTGATCCATCTGTGAAGAACGATCTTGCGGAATCAACTTGGCCAAACTTTGCAGCATAAATTGACGGAACAATCATGGAACGATGATGTTCTGGGATCCCAAGAATCTCGCGCGTCATAGATAAATCAAAACTAACTGAGTTGCCGAATCGGAGAAGCATACACGATGAGGATTATGCTGTGAAGGGCTGACATTCTGTGTTATGTACACGTAGTACAATGACATCAAACAAGTTTGAAGGTTCAGTTAAAGAAGCTTCTCAAAGTTTTCGATTACCAGTGGGTTCATAACTTCACAACGGGTGAGGAGGCTGAGTGAAAATTCCGAAAACCGATCCGATAGTGGCAACACCGCCAACACTTTTAGACTCATCGTATAAGTCGAGAGCATGCATCCTAACGCTATACGAAGACAACGATACTTGATACGTTCCAGTTTGATGATGTGCGTTTTAGCCACCGACTGGAAGCAAAAACTACCGTACTCTAAAACCGATAAAATCGTTGTCCGGTACAACGTTAGAAGATCTTGCGGATGGGCTCCCCACCACGTTCCGGTAATTGTACGGAGAAAATTGATCCTTTATTGGC